CCTGTTCAGGTGTTTGAACATCAGAACGTGGTTTGGACGTTGGGACCCTCAGAGGCTTTGAAGGTCTGGGACTCAGAGCTCTGCTTGCCCACACTGAGGTCCAGCTCAGCCGCTGGAATGAAGATGCAGTATTTTATTTCTGTGCCTCGGCTGTGCCTGTTGTGTTTGGTTCAAATTCTCCTCTGTCAAGATTGCATGGCTGCCTGTCTTTGCCATTTAGGTATCCGCTCTGATGTCACTGTCTCGGAGGGGCCTTCTTTGATCACCCAGACTTCATTTCCTCTGCCCTACACACACACGCACACATGCACACCAGCTCACTGCTCCGCGTTACCTATTTCATTTTGCATTATGGTCTAAAATTTGCTAGTTTATTATCTGTCTTCTTCAATTGTAGCTCACAGTAAGGAATGCAGGGTGACGACTGTGTCCAGAGAGCCTGGTTTAGTACTTGATGCATAAGAGCTCTGGTTTCTGACATCCTCCCTTGCGTGGCGTGAGGAAGTATCGCCTCGTTCACTCATTCCTGTATTGCATAGGTATTTATTGAGCATTGACTTTATGTCCAACACTGCACTGAGAGCTATGAAAGAGCAGAGAATAATAAAGATGCAGTGCTTGCTCTCCTGGAGTCAGATAGCAGGAGACAGGAAACACACGAGGACGTGTGCCGGAACATGGAGGCTAAGTTGAACCTTGTGGCCCTGCCCATGTCTAATCATTTCCAACCTTAAAAGTTGCAATATTTCAGCAGAATTGCTCGGGACTGGGTTAAGGAGTTATAAAGAAAAGTGTAGTTTCTTGCGGGAAGGTCCCGATCTTTGGCAAGGTTTCCTAAAGAAGTAGAACCAATATGTAAAGACATTTATTATAAGGAATTGGCAAGTTCAGAGTCTTCAGAGCTGATGTCCCTGCTCCAGGCTGAATGACTTCTGTAGAACCGGGGAGAGTCACTGTCCCAGTGCAAAGGCCGCCAGGAGCGTTCTCTGCTACTCAGAAAGGCTCAGTCTCTGGCCCAGTTTGGGCCCAGATGACATGATGAGAGGCCCGCTTGCATTAGGTCCTCTGCTTTACTTGTCTACCCACTGGATGTTACTCTCTTCAAAGAATACCCTCACAGAGCTACCCAGAGCAATCTTTGATCAAATACCTGGGCACCCCATAGCCTGGTCAAGGTGACCCTGACCTTGACCATCGCAGGTCTTGCTATTCAGAGGGTGGCCTGACAACTTGAGCAGCATCTGTGGCCTCACCCGACTATGCTGAATCAGAATCTGCCTTTTGACAAGGTGCCCAGGTAATCTGGGCATTCAAGTTTGAGAAACTGCCACACTGTGTGCTGCAGATCCTTGGGCATTTGTTGAGTTGTTGCACATAATTTCTTAATTCATTAAAATTTTGAGGCACATCCTCACCCCATATCTGTACATTTCTTTTAGTCATAAGCATATGCATGTACCTGTGAAAAATTAGTAGGTACATTGTAAAGCATCCATAAGAACAGAAATTTGAAACTGAGCTAAAGATGAAATATTGTTTTAAAATTTGTTGCTAGTCATGATTTCATGCCGTCATTAACTAGTATCTTAAAAGATGTACATTGAGTGAAGCTCACTGTTAATAAATGAATCTATATGTTAAATATTCCTGATGCTACTTTGGATTATTTTTGGCTGCCTTTGTTTGGATCTGAGTGGATCATCATCGTTTTAACCATGTGGGAAGTTACTGATGAGAAGAGCAGAGCCAATCCTGTTGTTTGCATGTGGTTGCACTATCTTCAGTATGTGATTTTGTTAGGGGGCCTAGGATTTAAGCCACAAGGCTGATTGGTGACAGTGTAGACATGAGTAGATGATATAATCTGTGCACCCTCTTTGGGGGCACACGTAACCTCAATACAGGCAACAAGACCCAGGGAGGGTGCCTCTGGAGGTCACCTTCCTTGGTCCAGGGTTTCTGATTCCCATCATAGGACGTGGTGTTCTGGGCATCAGTGCACATATTAAGTGTATTCCTCACTTTCAATGACCCAGCACACCCGTTCAGACATGTCCTGTCCCTGTGACGGTGGCATAAGCCCTACATTGAAAATTCCTTGGGCAGGAAATGGAGCTCTCTCCAAATCCTTGTCTCCACTGCATTTTCTGGGGATGGCAGCACTAGGCAAAAGTATCTGTCGGCTTTTGGACTGGAATTTCATGATTTTTGGCAGCCCTGGGGATCTGCAGATGGCAGAGCTGACCAAGTTCATAGTGGCCATCATGCCTGCTCAATTTGCCATCTTCTTGAAAGCCTGAATATTTTTAACATTTTGGGAAGGCTCCTGTGAGATGATGATGAAAGCTATGGCTCCTTTATCAAGAAAACTGCACAAAGTTTCCATTCAATTTTACTGCAACTTGGGGATTCTGCAAAGCCCAGGGGGAAGACCTTGTTAGGAAGTGACCGAGGCAAGTTAGTTGGGGAAGGCCTCCGTCGACTGTTCCTTTCCCTGAAGTCTCTGAATTTCAGACTTGGCTTATCACACAGAGGCAGGGAGAAGTGTGAACTTTCATTTCAGACACTTTCAAGTTTGTCCATTCAGTTCCACTGATGAGCTGGGTTTCCATAGGCAGCTTTGGATTCTGTAAAATAGGCCGTGATAATCCACACCTTGTAACATTCTCCTCCTCATTCGCCCTGTTCTACTTTATTGGATGTCTTGCTTGTTATGCAAGTACATGACCTTGTTCCTGCCCCAAGAGCTTTGCACTTGCTGTGTACCCTGCCTGGAATACAAGTCCATCATCGTCATGTGGACAAACCCTTCTCGCTACTCAGGCATCAACTCAAACATCACCTCTTCATGACCATACCCTACGTCTCTCCTTGTCCATTTAGGATTCTTAAGTAAGTGTAGAATTCAGCGGTTTTCAGGATAATCACAGCATTCACACCTGTCATCACTGTTTACTTCCAGTCCACTATTTAATTCTGAAAATGTTTTTATCATTCTTAAATTCCCATATCCACTTGCAGTCAATTTCCTTTCCCCCTTCTCTATGCTAGCCCTTGGCAAACATGAATCTACTTTCCATCTTTATGGATTTGTCTGTTCTGGACATTTGATATAAATGGAATCCTATAATATGTGAAGTTTTATAGCTGGCTGCTTTTGCCACTCATAATGTTATCAAAGGTCATCCATGTTTAGAAGGGATCATCGCTCCCTTCCTTTTCATGGCTGTTTGATATTTCATTTCTTAGACCATGTTCTGTGTATGCATCCATTGGTTGATGGACACTTGTTTCCATGTTTTGGCTGTTTTGAAAAATACTGCTTAGTCCAGTCCATCTTGACCCTGCTACTCTTTTTAAAAAGTTTATTTGAAGCCCTTGTTTATTGAGCATGGCTATTTTTTATTCTCTCCTATAAAATACAAGTTCTAGGAAGGCAGAAACCTTAACTGTCTTGGACACAGTTGTGCCCCCAGAGCCTTGTATAGTACATAGCACATGGTGGACATTGCTTGTTGAATGAACAAATGAATGAGAGCTGTTGTTAGTCTCTTGTCTCTTTCCCTCTAATTCACATGAGATTATTGCTTGTTGAGCTTTTTAATGAGTTATATCTGAGACTTCTGCTCATCAGTGGTGTTTCTTGCCTTATTGTCCCGTCGTGCCATGATCAACCTTTCCTTCCAGTTTGGGTGCTCTGCTGTCCTAGCGTGATGTCACACTGAATGTGCAGCAGACCCACACAGGCCTCTGAGAAAGCAGCCTGCTGAGGCCCGCCCCTGGAGTTTTTGACTTGTCTAGATGGATGTGAAAATTTGCATTTTTGCAAATTTCCAGTTGATACCGATGCTGCTCCACTGGTCGGCAGACCAGGGTGTGAGAATCACTGCTCTCCAAGCACACAAGGGGTCTTCGTAAAGTTCATGGAAAATGTGTATTATGAACAAACAATGCATGGGTTTCAAAATTTTTTGCTCCAAAAACAACCTTAAATTTTAAGTCCATTTCCATGTACTTTTTGAAGTACCCTCGAATGGAGAATTATCATCCCTGCAGGTCAGGGGGATGTGGGTATGATGCAAGATGTTGTGGTCCCAAGGGATGGAAGAGATTCCCATTCAGTGATATGCCCAGTTCTTGTGTTGCAAACACAAAGGAACGAACAGAATGCAGCTTAAGGTAAAAACACTGCTTATGTAAAAGATACACATGTATATGGCAACACCTCAATATTATACATCATTCAAGCATGTTCACATATCTGAATAAGGACAAGATGGAGGGCAAAGAGAAAAAGAATGTTGGTAGGGTCTGACCTTAGTGTGTGATCTCTGTTTTGGTAGTTATCTCTGTCCTGTGTGCAAACACTGAGCTTCTTTCCTGAGTTTTTATCTCATTGTGAGATCACAGATACAGGCCGAATAGTGTCTCCATTTCTTCCCCCAATAAAAAGACTCTGGGTCAAAGCCCTGCGCTACCGCTTACTGGCTGTGTGGCCTGGAACATGTCGATCCACCTCTCTGCACCTGTGTTCACTCGTCTGCAAGGGGTAGGAGTCCTCCTGAGGGTCTTTTGTGCGGCTTTGTTAAGACATGTAACGCAAATAGCATAGTGCCAGGTTTGTGGTAAGCATCCCATAAATGTTAGCCAGTGTTACTAATATTGGATTGTGGATGGACATTGTTGATATCTGCTGTGAGATATAGAGAACAAAATCTTTGAAGTTGAGACACATAGCATGTATTCATTATTTAATCCTCCCAACAACTGCACAGGGTAGATGATAATGTTATTCCATGGCAGTTGGGAGAGGTATGTAAACTACTGTATTTGAGTCCTTATGTAGCCTCAAATCACAATATGTATGAATTTTGTGTTTTCTCCACTAACCCCCATGGACAGCAGCTTTGTCTTTTGTTCACAAACACCATGGTCCGCTCATAGCAGGTGCCCGTAAGTGTGTTTTGAATGGAGAGTTTTTAAATTCACTTTTCTTTCAGGGCCCTAGCAGATGTCATGAGACCACAGGGGCACTGCAACACTGACCACATGGAGAGAGACCTTAACATTGTTGTCCACGTCCAACACTACGAGAACATGGATACGAGAACCCCCATAAATAATCTGCGTAAGTATAGCTGCCTGGACCATTTTTGGTCCAGGTGACCTGTGTAGTGATCAAGTTACCAGATGTCCTGCTGTGTGTTGTGTTTGGGTTAGTTAAGAGTTTCTCTTTGTTGACAAGTTAGAAATTTTATTTCATTTCTTCTTGATAAAGCTGAGTTTGGCATCATCAGATTTGGCCTGGTTGCTTTCTCTGGTAAATAGTGATCCACCCAGTTGGTTCATTGTGGTTGGTGCCTTTTAGCTTGTAGATACTATTTGATTGATTCAACTTAGTTGATCTGTTAACCAAGAGTCCTCTTGGTTGGTTCATCATGGGGAGGTACTTAGTTTACCTGTGGATTATTTGCGCTAATCTTAAGTGGTTAATCAATAATGCATTTTATTGATTTATCTGGATTGAGTCATCTGTTAGCCAATGGTCCATTCACTTACTTGTCTGCTTCCTAACAGACTATTGATAGGTTTTTCATGCTGTTTCTTAATCAACAAATACTAGTTCAGAAGAAGAATGTCTTTTCAAAACTAGAGTTTCATTAAGGTAATCCACAAAATACTCTAGGTGTTGGGGGGAGGTGTTGAGCTATGGTTGTGCTGTTTCGGGGTATAAATGACTCATGTAAAATTGCTCTTCCAGGAAAAAAAGAGCTGCATTTGCTATTGTGTTCCAGCAGAACACACTTGGGATCTTGGTATACTCCCCCAAACCTCCGTCAGATTTACATACTTCCAATATCTGTTATGGATCTGATCCATGGACTAATGGGACTGGTAGAAAAATATGATTGTTTGGTTTTTGACAATAGTGTACTGCCATGGTTATTTCTAGCAATTATGTGTTCAAATAACCACAACATTAAAGTACCATGGAGGGCTTGGTTTAATATATCAAAAGGCAGACAATTCAAAGGATGCTTTTGGCTGTGACTAGAGGTTCTTGAACACAGAAACAGTTTTGGCACTGCACATTTTTACAGTCTGTGTTACCTTTGCTGAAACTGTCCTAGGCACTGCATGGATGTTTTATTTTATGAATTGTAGTTTTGGGCTGCTCGGTTGCAAATTTTCATGCTCAGCGAATGGAGGAAGAAGTCTGGCATTTGACATAGGTGATGTGAATTTTCTGATTCTGCTTGATGATGCTGTTTCATGGTTTGGAAAATTGTTGCAGTATGTTAGAAAAACCAATGTTTATTTTGTTTGAAAAATGGGTTAATCAAATAGCATTAGAATAGTGTAATTAAATCCTATTAAATAAAATAATTATTAACCAAATTAATGATTAGATTAAATGGGTAGAATAATTATATTCTATTTAATTGTCAGTAAACAATGTGATGTTATTTATTTACAAACTGGATCATGAAATAGCCTAAATTTCAGAGAAAAAAATATGCCAATAATTGGAAATTTTATGATCAAATCCCACAGCCTCCAAAGTTATGGTAACCAACTCTGACGTAGTGATTGCTGTGCCTAATTTAGATTGGGTAAAAATGAACCCATTCTCTTTCAGACTACACTGTTCAGAAACAAACCGAAACATCCTGAGTGAGTGAACACGGTGATGGAGCAGATAAACTGAAATAGTGTTGAGGTCTGGGCTACACGAGGTGGCTGTTAATGGGTTTTCCATTAGGAGTTTCGATCTCAAGGATGATTTCGAATCAGTACTAAATGGAATAACAAACTCATTGAAGTACTTCAACTTTCATCATTCCATCAGGCGGAAGGGCAAGGGACATTAATGAATGTTGTCTACGCGAGAGACTTTCATTTAAAGTTGTCCTGAGAATAAATTTCTGCTCAGAAGTGGGTGTGTGGCCACTGAGTAATTTGAAAAGCCTCTTGTTACAAGCTTCCTTGGTTTATTTATGATTCTTGCTTTTGATCTATATTTGTGTCTCACTATTCAGTGATATCTTATACCAAGGTAGAAAGTGTCTTGTAATAGTCCCCCGAGTAGGGCTGTACTAGCAACACCAGAGCACTTCTCATAAACCCGGGGGAGAATCCCAGGAATAATATCGAAAGCATTGCATTGCTGTAAGGGTTGCCACAGATATTAATTCCACATAATCCTGCAAGGTTGATCTAATCCTTCTCTGCTAACCTTCTTGGGAATATCTGAATAAGAGAAGTAAGCTTGGAACCCATTCACAGATTTACAAAAATAAGTTAATTTACATAACATTTACATAACTACATTCTGTAGTTGACAGTTACAGCTGGCTTGTTTGCAATGGCTTGTTTATACTGTTGTTGATTTACAGGAACTATTTATATATTAAAGATAGAAAAAATTTGTACATTTAGAAGAATGGATGATTTTGGGGAGTTTGTTGAGAGGATCAGACACGATTATTGATATTAATCAGTTATTAGGGGTTGAAGAAGCCAATTAGTGTAGCTGATTTTGGCTGCTAGAGAAGGAAAGAAGGGATCTTACTTGATAACTGGAACATTGGATCAGCCCTTCATGGTAGAATTAGAATGCACCTGTTGAATAGAGAACCCTTGTCTGTGTGACGGGCAGCGGGGTGACTGTAGCTCACAAGAACCTGGTATGTATTTCCTGAGAAAATAGGAGAGAGGAGCTCCAGGGTTCCAATCATAAAAAACGGCAAAGAGAGGGAAACATTCATTCCCCTGATTCGATCCAGACATGTTTATAAGTCACATTGCATCCCATAAATATGTACAGTTGTTCATCAAAAAAAGTTTAAAATGCTTTAAAACTATTATGGTAAATAACAAAATTGAAACCAGCAACACTGAAAGACTTTTCTGGATGTGATGGGAGCTACAAGGATTTGCTGTTACAAAAAATGGAAAGAAAGATGCATCTGTTTGTGCTACACCATGGGGGTGCATGGTTGCTTTTTGCTCAACCTCCAGGCTACAACATTTGCCTGGGGATTCAGTAGTCTCAACTTCAACATCAGTTTCATCTCTATTCAAGGACCTACTCAGCGTTGCTTTCAGAGAATAATAATCCTCACCTCTTCCTCCTTCCTCACTTATGTAATACAAATGCTAGGCCAGTTTCTGATGTCTTCCTTATAGTTTGGTCAGATACCAAGAGAGTCAACAGCCAGTGCAGTCTTGAAAGGGAGGAGGTGGAGAAAGACATGGGTGAGTGCAAACAGGGAGGAGAGAGCTCTGAGATGTGGGCATTTTTGCCAACCTTCTTTATCAAGTTCCTGGAGTTGATTTTCCCCTGTATATGCAAGACTCGCCTTTTGCTCTGAAGATGGATTTTCCTCTAGCTGATGCTGTTCATATTCTTTCCAGGCATTCAGTGGCATCGCCTAAAAATATTTAGTCTGATAATCAGAAGGGCTTTGACCTCTCTGATTAACAGGATGTAGATTCCGTTGAGATAGTGATTTTCTACAAATGCTCTTTGGCTTTTGTGTAATTATAGTTTGCTTTTGAAGGCACATTTTGTCCTTAAGTGCTGTGAGTGTACAACGCCTCCCTTGTCCCTACCTTGCTGCCTGGCAGTGACACCCCCACTACCTCTTCAGGGAGTGTGGGGTAAATGCAATTTCCCTTGACTCTTTTATTTATTTATTTATTTTGGCAGGCAGAGTTAGAGAGTGAGAGAGAGAGACAGAGAGAAAGGGCTTCCTTCTGTTGGTTCACTCCCTAAATGGCCACTACGGCCGGCGCGCTGTGCTGATCCGAAGCCAGGAGCCAGGCACTTCCTCCTGGTCTCTCATGCAGGTGCAGGGCCCAAGGACTTGGGCCATCCTCCACTGCACTCCTGGGCCACAGGAGAGAGCTGGACTGGAAGAGGAGCAACCGGGACTAGAACCTGGGGTACTGGTACCACAGGCAGAGGATTAGCCTAGTGAGCTGCGGCACCGGCCTCCCTTGACTCTTAAGGGCAAGAGATGTGGGTGAAGGGCTGTGGATACCACGTGGATCCGTGTTTCTCAAATTTCTGTGCTGATATCACTTTTGTGAAATGAGAGTTTTACTTTGAAATAGTTTTTATGTACAAAAAAGGTGCAAAGATAGTACTCGGAGCTCTGCACACACCTCAACCTCTCTGCTTGGGGATAACATCTTCCATCACTGTGGCATACTTGTCAACAATAGGAGATCCACATTAGGCAATTCCTTTTAGTTCAACTATAGCCACTGTTTGAATTTGGCTCCACAGATGTCTCTGTCCAAGGATCAGATGCAGGATAGCACATTGTATCTGGCATAGCAGATAGTAGTTTTGGTTCTGCAGTATTGTATAATGATGCTGTAAAGGAGGAAAACAGCATTAAATAAGTCAGCAGCCGTTACAAAGCCTTTATGGCCGTGGTGCACAAAGTGTCTCCCAGTGTCTATAAAAATATTCACATAAAATTATTCACCAGGGGCAGGCATTCGGTACAGCCATTAAGTTGCTGCTTAGGATGCCTGTAACCCATATTTGAATGCTTGGGTTTGAGTCCTGGCTCTTCTTTCAATTTTAGCTTCCTGCTAGTGAAGACCCCAAGAGGCAACAGGTGATGATTTGAGTACTTGGGACCCTGTCACCCACCTGGGAGACCCAGGTTGAGTTACAGGCTTCTGTCCTCCATCTGGCTCAGCCCTAACTGTTGCAAGCATTTGGAGAGTAAACCAGCAGATGGAAGACATAACTACTCCCACCCCCACCTCCTGCTTTTCAAATCAGAGGGAAAGAAGGAATCTTAAAACAATTGTCCGCTACTGTCCTGGCACTGCTGTGGTGTGTGTTCACAGGAGAGCATTCACTCATGTGCCTTGCCCACTTGTGGCCTCTCTTTGGAACCGAGTTGATGGTGCTACCTATTCTACAGCCTAATCTGATCAAGTGATGTCTGAGATGACTGGGAAATGAGTACTTCACGTTTCAGGACACAGAATCTGTCACAAAGAGGAGGCTCCTCTTGCAGCCAAAATTCCCCCTCTCCTAGGATGATACCCAAATGGGTTTATAAGAAATCCAACATGTGGTTTAGTTTCTGAAGAGGTTGT